AGACAGCACTGTGTCTGACCAAGAGCAAATCTATTTAATCTAGGTGGAACATATACATTGCACGCCCCATCGAAAATGCCACATCTAGATTGCTGACTTCCTCAGGGTCGAAGTTGCAGTTGACTGCACGCATATTGCTGTGGGTGATCCCCATCACAAGTCGGAAAGCTCATATATTAGAAAACAATACCACTCTTTCAAGGTGTAGGTTGTTTGCAATTACCACTAATGCACCTTGCAAAACTATGTAGGAGCTCTGATGAAAACTTATCAGGACTCAACAATAGTTTGCTCTCCCTCCACGGAAGCTGTCCGACCCACTGTGATCTCCAGCATTTGTTGTTTTCCTTGCAAAACTATGCCTGGTTTCATAAGATATCTATGATTTATCCATCCCATCCAGGTCTGAATTGTAACCTTGAGAAAAAATAAGCTTGGGTCAGTAGAATATTTTCTCTTTTAAGCATATGATTGAGTGCTTCACAGAATTGTGATATGAATGCAACAAAGACTACCCAAAACTTGCACTTGCAGGAGGGAAAAGAAACAGTATGACGGGAATTTACTGATCATGGCTGGAGACAACCTGTCATGGCTATTTTTGGGACCGTCATCAGGATTAAGTCCCTATTACATATCCCACTGGCTGCCATCAGGATTTCTGACTCCTGGAGGAAATCTCACACTGCAACCTCTAAAGTGGGGTGGATGCCCTGCCTTAGCAGCTCTCCGATACTGACAATGCCCCCAAGGAGCAGTGGCCACTCTCGGTATTGCCGGAGAGCCATGAATGAAGATCATTGCCAGAGCCTCAAATGAACTCCAAGAAGAAAGGCCATCTTCGGCTCTTCTCGCCTTTGATGTTACTAACGGGAATCGGAAAGGTGACAGCATCTTCGTTACACAGTCTGTTCATCCCCTCCCACAGGAACATTAAAACCTGCCCTATAATCACATCCAGAAACGTGCAACATAAAAAAATTGGTTTGATACTCTTATCACCATGTGATCACTTGTGACTGACAGAATGAAATAGGTTTGATGGGATGAATGGCCTCTTCCCATCCTGTAACCATTTTATGACATCATAACTAAGTCTCAATGAGGAGTAAGGAAATCCAAGGGTTACGGGGAAAATGGAAGCAAGAAGAGTTGCGGATTATTAGATCAGCCATGCTCTCATTAAATGGCAGAGCAGACTCAACGAGCTAAGTGACCTACTTCTGTTCCTACGCCTTATGGTCTTAATGGTCCAATTTGGCAGAAGGACAAGGGTAATATAGCATGTGGTTTGGATACTTGTTGCATTGAATATTATGATCACAGCAAATCACCATTCGAAATACAATATGACATTTTACAGGATCGGTTATTTGTAAAATTCTAATAGTTCTTAGTGAATTCTGCTGCCACTGTACTCTTATCATGACCTGCACAGAATGTGCACAAAATAGCTGATTTTTTTTGGCCTGTTTTCTCCCCTAAAGGCCTTGGCGCCTTGTTTTAAATGTGGCTTCAAGTGCACTTTGAAAGCTTACTCAGTTTGTTGTTCTTGTGAGATCAAACAATGAGAGTCAGCAGGTGATTCAACTACACTGTGAATTGTAGCCCTAGATCTGATTTTGTATTTACGTGATTTCCACACAGGTACACTTGCAGCAGAGATTAGTGGAAAGTGATCTGGAGCAGGAACTGTGCTCGATTTTGATTTGATTTATTTTTTCCTCCTGCCGAGCCAAGTGGCTTTGAGGCTAACTGAAGCATTCTTTTGTTATCCACATAGAGATCAGCTAACTAAGTGCAGCCCAGGAATTAAATCTGGGTGGTATGTCTGAATACCATATATGGTTCATTTACCACTCCAAGCCACCAGGAGAACATCAATGTCTGTTTATACCCAGTTTAGAAAAATTTATTGGAACACACTGGTCATAAATTAATAGTTTCTGTTGCAAAGCTGAACCACAATTTAATTTAGTAAGTATTTCATTATTAACAGGATTTTTGAAGTCCAACTTGTTCAGTTTGGGGGCTTCAAAATGCACACTAAGTGAGTTGATCTTTTTATTTCAGATTTTTAACTCGTAATGGACAGTTTCAATCATGAATAATGAAGATAAATCAAGTGAACAACAGCTTCTTTCTGACTTTCTTTCTGGCTTTCAGTCTTGGCCTAGAGATAGCTGATTAATGCTTGATTCTTTTTGACATGAAGTAAGCCACTCTTTCAAAGTCTCTTCTAATGGGAGACAGCTGTAGAATTGAAGTGAAACTAATGCTGTAATAAATAATCCTGGCAATTTCATTTGAAACAAATTACTGTTAATGAAAAGTGCAATTGTATATGATTAAAAATTGACCTCATACCCAGTCAGGCTCCAGAGCTGTTACCTAACTTGACATTCAAAATGAATGTTCTGCTTTTACATTTTGAATGGCTTAAAGGGGAAAAGAAAAACAAATATATATATTTTTTCAATTAATTAAATATGGAAGTCTAACAACAACAGAATAGGCTTAGGAAGCACCTACAACCAACCTTAGTACTGAAAGCTGGACTTTTTAGTTTTCCCATTGCTTTAGCCTACATTGATCAGACAGACCCTGTTCAATCCTAAATTTGTATTATAGTGATGGTGGGGCAACCACACCATCCCATTTCTGGAGTGAAATATAAAGGGCCAAAGTGTCCTATTACGATTGTCTACTGTTCAAACTGCACATGTGGAGGACAGGATGAAGCACATTTGGGTAGGTATCTCAACTGATAATTAGCCAGTCCACCAGACTATGTGGGAGTGAGGAGTAGATGAGAACTTTCAGAAAGAAAAAAACAAAACAAAAAAAAAGGGCAAAATGTCTGAACAGAATTGCTTCTTCTATTTCCACCCCTGGACTGTTGGGTGAAAAATGTTGAAAAGTGATCTATAACTTTATAGATGACCACAAAGTGAAATGTGTTCCCTCTGTAACTACTCTTAAAGATTTGACTATGGCAGGGAGGCTTCACTCAACTGCTCTCCACTGATGCAGTGCCAAGAACTATTATCCTGATAACCCGGAAACTCTGCAGAACCCTCCCTTCCCTCAGACAGAGATGCAGCAGCCAGCTGTATCCCCTACTGCCTCAGCTAACACTGTAAAGCCTCAAGATCAAATCTTGACCTAGGTCAGGATGTGTCAGTCACAGACTTTAGCTCAGGGCCATCCAGGAAACATGAACGCACAACTGAGTGTTTCTCCATGAATGTCAAAGTGAACAAGAAGCTGATTGGAGCTGAATAACTCACCTACGATGTGGAACTTTTGACACCGTCAGTTATTTTAATACTATATGAATTCTGGTGCTGAAATGGATAGTGGCTATAATTCGACAAATTTGAATAGAATGTTCCAACAATGTGTTACATCTCACAGGGGTGGTATGCTGGGAATCAAGCCCCACTATTCCTGGAATTATTTTAAAATTTAAAGATTTTAAATAAAACACAAATTTCCCATTGTCTTTTAAACCCAGGTTGACAGAAAGTATGGGCAAGTTTCTGTAGGTAACAAGAATTAATACTTTTTTAAAATAAATACATTCTAACTACAGGGAAATAATTATGAACCATCAACACATTATCTTGTGAAACTCTAACCCCACTCCTTATAAACTCCCCCTACATACACATACATATAGACATAGACAGGGAAAAAACATGTTTATTTTAGGCAGAGGGGTAAAACTGAGAAGGTAATTCAATGGTCTCTGTCCCCAGCTGAAATTATCACTGAATCACACTAATTTGCACTGAAATTATTCTTTTGGCTTGTCAGAACCAGCTGCTGCTTGATCACCCTTCTCCAGGTACTCTCACTTGCTTACAGGAGGCTCAGGATGACTGGTTCACATTTGTAAAGTCTCTAACCTTTTAATTGAAAGACACAGGCTACAGCAACAGCTAGTGGGAGATAATCTGACATTCCCTGGGCTTGAAGTGTTTTTTGCTGCAGAGAGGGGGACCGCTCCTTCCCCTCAGAAATTTGATGGCGTCTCCCCAAATATTCACACCCACAACTGCTCAGCTATCTCGGAACCAGTCTTACAGTTGTTAGCAGGCAGAAGGCTTCTGTCATCGTTACTTGGTCACCAATTCATTGACCAGTGATTTGTTGCTGGCCAAATCCATTTGTACAGCCCCTCAGCTCCAGTTCGGCTGTACTGACTTTCTCCGCTGTGTAAACAGCACTTACAATGAGTAACCAGTAACTTGCTTTCCAAAATTGCAGCAATTCTTCAATAATCCTGGGCTTTTAAATCAGTCTTTTTCCCATTTCAGTCCACAGTCAAAAATCCAGAAAACTAAAAAGTTACAGTATTTACAAATGTAACAATTAATTATCATGAGTTAACGTGTACTTCTCCAGATTGCAATTTTTTAAACTATGTATTAAAATATCAGAAAGTAAATTAATCTTTTAATCAAAATCACAAATCTGGATCCAGTAAAGATGACAAAATTGTTTTTAACAAGAAATATGTTCCAGCTTTAAGTATTTTGATGTAAAATCAGCTTTCTCAACTCAATTAGCATCCCACCGAGTTTCAAAAAGATTTGATTTTAAAAGTGAACATCTTTCTGATAACTCAAAGAGTTTAATAATGAATCAAAAATGAAACAGGTTAATTATTTTCAGCAAAACCTTTAGTTTCTGGGAGAAACAAAAAGTGTTTTTAATTGTATTGTGTAATCTTATGATTTTAATATGGTGAGGTTCGCTAATTAAGAGATTAATCCTAGTAATTACCTTCCAGAGAATGCTACTGAATGAGTGTATAGTGTGTTTAACTCCTTTATGGATTCAGTGATTTAACAGCATTCATACATTAATTCTCTTCTACCCATCAAACTGATCCAGATTTACTAAAACGTGATGCTGATATGCCTTGTAGCCTGGCTATTACTTCAGATGTTTTCCTTAAAATGAAGCTTTTACCTTCTGCCCTCTTTATTTAGGTCACTAAGACATCAACATGTCCAGCAAAAGAGCAAAGGCAAAGACCGCAAAGAAGCGCCCTCAGCGTGCGACTTCCAATGTGTTTGCAATGTTTGATCAGTCTCAGATCCAAGAGTTCAAAGAGGCTTTCAACATGATAGACCAAAACCGTGATGGCTTCATTGACAAGGAAGATCTGCATGATATGTTGGCTTCTCTCGGTAAAGAAATGAATTGTCTCCTAAAATTCACAGCACTTCCATGAGAATTATGGTCTACATTTTGGTAATCAATTTATGAAATAGGAAGTAACAGCAGGCCATTCAGCCCCTTGAGCCTGCTCTGACATTCTATGAGATCATGGCAAATCTGATCTCATTCTGATCCACTCTGATAACCTCCCATTCCATTGCCTAGCAACAGACAATCCACCTCTGCCATAAAACCATTTAGTGATCCCACTTTCACTGCCTTCTGTCACAGAGCGTTCCAAAATCACTCAAACCTGTGAGAGAAACAATTCTCATCCCTATCCTAAAAGAGTGACACTTAGTTTTAAAAGAATACCCCCAGCTCAGGACTCATACATCCTTTTCAAGTCCACTCTATCAAGATGATTCGGAATCTTACAGACTTCAATCAAGCAACCCCTCACTCATCTGAACTCCAGTGAAAACATGCCCAGCCTGTCCAACCTTTCCTTATAAAGACAACCCACTCATTCCAGGTATCAATTGAATAAATCTCCTTTTGAATTGCCTCGAAGAAATTTATATCCTTCCTTAAATTAGAACAGAACTGCACATAGTATTTGAAATGTGGTCTCACCAACACCCTGCATATTTGAAGCGTAGCATCCTTATGTTTATGTTGAATTCCTTTTGTAATGAAGGATAGCATCCTATTTGCTTTCTTGATTGTGTGCTGTACCTGCATGCTAACTATTTGTGACTCGTGCACTGATTTTTCTTTTGTTTGATTCATTTAAAGGATGTGTGCTTTGTTGGCTGAACCAGCATTTATTGACCATCTCTAATTGCCTTTGAGAAGGTGGTGCCGAGCAGCCTTCTTGAACTACTGCAGTCTATTTGGTTCAGGTCCATTCATAATGCTATAAGGGTGTAAGTTCTAGGATTTTGACTTATTGACATTGAAAGAATAGTGAAATATTTCCAAGTCAGAATAGTAAGTGGCTTGGAGAGAAATTTGCAGGTGTTGGTGTTTCCATCGATCTGCAGCTCTTAGGCCACCAAAATGTTAGCGGTCATGGATTTGGAAGGAGCTGTGTAACCAGCCTTGGCGTATTTCAGCCGTGCATCTTGTACATTGTACACATTGCTGCTACTGTTCTTGATTGGGAGGGCATGAATGTTTGTGGGTGTGTGCCCATCAACCAGGCTGCTTTATTCTGGATGGTATTGAGATTCTTTTGTTGTTAGAGCTGCATTCATCCAGGCAAGTGGGGAATATTGTATCACATTAATGACTTGTGTCTTCTCACTCAGCCTATCTATATCGGTCAGTGAATTCCTTATGTCATGTGCATAACATGTTTTCTTATCTATCTTTATCATCTGTGATTTTAGTTACCATGCTTTCACTCCTCTCATCCAATCACTGATGTAAGTTGTGAAAGGTTGAGATGCAGCAGTACTCCACTCAGCACCAATCAGACAATGGCCTTTTATGTAGATATTTTAGAATTAACCTGCTCAGAGATTTTAGTACACACTTCTGGAGTAGGTGGGACTTGAGACTCCTGGCTCAGATGTAGGGACACTAGCAGTATACTCTCAGTTGTCTGCCAGATAGCCAATTTTCAATACATGCTAGTATGTTACTACTAAAACATGTACACCTACTTTGTACAATAATCATTGCTGCAGCACCTTGTCAAATGCCTTCTTAAAATCCAAGTACAGTATATCTACCAGCACCCCCCCCCCCGCTTTATCCACATCATATATTAAACAATCAAATCTATTAACTTGATTAAACATCATTTCCTATTCATAAAATTGTACTGACCCTTACCAATCATGTTCAGTTTTCCTAAGTGCCCAGCTAATACGCTTGAATCATCTTTTCAAACCGAAACTTTAAACATCTTTATGTTCCCAACTCTGAATTAAGAGTGTGAAATATAACTAGTAAAAATTCAGACAATTCGATTTACTCCATGTGATATCAAGAAATGGTTGGAGGCACTGGATACCGACAACATTCGGGCAGTTACACAAAATACTCCAGAATTTGTTGCTCCCTAGCCAAGTTGTTCCAGTACGTTTACAACACTGGCATCTACCCAACAATGTGTAAAATTGCCCAGGTATGTCCTGTACACAAAAAGCAGGACAAATCTAACCCAGCCAATTATCGCCCCATCAGTCAGAAATTCAGAAATGCCTCTTAGACAGCATCATCCAAACCTATGAACATTACCACCTAGAAGGACTAGGGCTGCAGATAAATGGAAACACTACCACCTATAAGTTTCCCTCCAAGCAAATCACCATGCTGACTTAGAAATATATCGCCGTTCCTTCAGTGTCCCTGGGTTAAAATTCTGGAACTCCTTCCCTAATAGCATTATGGGTCTAACTACACCAAATGGCTGTGACAGTTCAAGAAGGCAGCTCACGAGCCCCTTTTCAAAGGCAACTTGGGATGGTCAATAAATGCTGGCCCAGCCAGCAACACCTACATCACGGAAGTAAATATGAAAATATATGTTTGTGCTGTTTGTATAGCAAATATTTACAGTTCAGTGATATAAAACTGGTTAATTGTCAAATGCACGTGTTAACTATGGGGTCATTCACAACCATTCTGGGAAATCCAGTAACATACAATCACAAGATACAAATACTTCTCAAATGTTAATTTTTGAAGAAGATGTTTATTTTAAAAACAGCCTATTTTGTTACATTAAGATGCATATTTTCCACGTGCTGCAAAACCTCTTCAGAATAACTCAGTCGCTCCATAGTTTTTTATTTATTTATTCATTCACGGGATGAGGAGGTTGCTGGCTAGGCCAGCATTTATTGCCTATCCCTAATTTCCCAGAGGGCAGTAAAGAGTCAACCACATTGCTGTGGGTTGGCAATCACATATAGGCCAGACCAGGGAAGGACAGCAGTTTCCTTCCGTAAAGGACATTAGTGAATCAGATTGGCTTTTCCCAGCAATTGGCAATGGATTCATGGTCATCATTAGATTCTTAATTCCAGATGTTTATTGAATTCAAATTTTACCATCTGCTGTGGTATAACCCAGAACATTTCCTGGGTCAGTAGATTAACAGTCCAGTGATAATAGCACAAGGCCATTGCCTCCCCACTTAGCTACTCTCAGCTACATGACTTTGTATGAAATAATACAGGTAGTTCACTTTCAAATTTGAACACCTCTGCACAGGAAAGAACCCTACTGATGAGTACCTAGAAGGAATGATGAATGAAGCTCCTGGTCCCATTAACTTCACCATGTTCCTGACTATGTTTGGTGAGAAACTAAATGGCACAGATCCAGAAGATGTCATTCGAAATGCTTTCGCTTGCTTTGATGAAGAAGGGACAGGTAAACAGCTTTTTAATAAGATGCAGTAATCTCTGGAGTCTCTCCTAGAAGCATAAAGAGAAAGAAGCTGCCAGCAGTTCAACAGCTTTGGATCAGTAAGCATCACTGGGCTGACAGCAGATTGCATATAATTTGATTACATGTTCAGTTTGTTTTTTTTTTAAGTCAGTTCAGCTGTATAACATCTTACTCATCCTATAGTATGACATGTGCTACATTTTCCACTTCTCATGCTTAGCTGATGGCAGAAGAAATTGCTTGGGTCCGACAGAACCACACAACCATAATAACCAGGAGGCCCAGGAACAACTGTCATAATTTTAAAAGCTGCTTGGTTATTCTTCCCAATTTAAGAATACTCTTATTAATTCTAACCCTGAGTTCTACTACCTCACGTGGATAAAATGTGTGGATCTAATTGAAAGGATATGTATGATATATGATATAAACGCTGCAAAGATTCTACTGGAAACCACATGCTTGATGTTAAACACCATAGGACAAGACAGGATTGAAGGTACGGTTGAAGATTTAAATTTCGGACGTGCCTGTCCAATATGTCATTTTTTCATGGTTATTGGACCTTCCTATTGTCCTGCATGAAAAGGCAGAGCACTTGAATTGGCATACTTAAACTGTGCTGCACCAATACATTTGAAAGTCCAATTTACAATTCACTACAGCTGCATGGGTTTCTTACAAGTTGGGAAGCCCAACAGTAATAAGGAAGTGGATCCATTCACAAGTTTAGTGCATTGTCCAGCACTCCTTGAGGGGCTTGGAGGAGTAACAGCCCTGTTTTCCAACCTCTTCCCACCACAACCTCATGTGTCAACCTCCTTCCTCCAATATGCATTTTGACCTATATGTCAAGCCAATTGAAAAGCATGCTCCTTTTCCGATTACCAATGATTGTTCCTAACAGTAAGTCAATTTACTGGCCACGTGTTAATTTAGCTGCCTGCCAGATGAAACAGAAGGAGAAATGATAATGGAACCCAGCCATTAAGTTCAGCCTTTAGATATCTTGGACAATTTCAGCTTCCCCATTTGTACAGGAACCAATATAGTTCCTGCTTGAGGGCTCTTGTGGTGCAGTCGTAATGTCCCTACTTCTGAGCCAAGAGGCCTAGGTTCAAGTCCAGCCTGATCCAGACCTGTGTAATAACAAATAAAAATGAACAGAACTGTGGATGCTGTGAATCAGAAGCAGAAGCAGAAACAGAAATTGCTGGAAAAGCTCAGCAGTTTTAGCACATCTGTGAAGAGAGATCAGAGTTAACGTTTTGGGTCCGGTGATCCTTTCTCAGGGTGTGTGTGTGTGTGTGTGTGTTTGTATTTGTGTGTGTGAGTGAGAGAGAGAGAGAGTGAGTGTGAGATAGAGAGAGTGGGTGTGAGATAACTTCTCTGAACAGGCTGATTTAAAAATGTCTATAATTCCTGTTTGAGGTGGTTTTGAAAGAATACTTTACTAGACAAAGGATTGCATTTACTTTGCCCTTGAACTGGCAATCAAGTTACTTGCTTCTAAAGGTGTGCAATGGAGACTTGATTCCCTGAGAACCCATTGCAATTTTAATTCAATTTTACTGTAGAATAATTTAATTTGATATCTTTTGTGATCTAGTTACATATGTAAAGCTTGTGAACCATGGTCCTGAATTCACAAATTACAGACGCTTAACTGAACAGTTCACAAACCTTGAAATTATTAATATACTATTTCTTACTCTGCTACTAAAACCTTTCATCAGAATGAAAAATCTAGGAATTGGAATCCCTGGACTCTGGGAGACACAAGGAGAATTGAACAAATACCTCAGATTACCAATTTGAGTCAAGTTTCCATTTTTCTCTGTATTTAACCTATTACAAGATAAATTATTTATCAACATCACATTTTCCAGTCATAGTGATATTTTATATTGGGTAGTATATATCATCTTGTGAAAGTTTTTTATTGTAATACTTGCATAGGTTTCTTTGGAGATGTTAATATGTTTGCATATCCTCTGTGCAAAAATAATTTAGAATAATTCATTGAGTACACATGGTTAAAACAATTCTACTTTGTGAAAACATTGCTATTGTCCAAATCATTCTAAACTTTTCAATTCAAAAATTGTGATGGCTTGGATATTATAAAATTGCAGCGGTGTGTCGATAGCTTTTGCTTCCCAACTATTGACCCTAAATATTAAAACACAGTAATGTACCTGTAATCTGCCTGTAAAGTCACTATAGTCTGATCATACCATAGCTCTCCTCTCTCATGAGAGAGAAATGCAACGGGTGGTGGTTTAACCTGTGGGTCACTGTACCACAGCTGATGGGAGAGGTTCAGAAGGAGAGTCTTTCATGGTAACCTTAGCCAGTGCAGAAATTGAATCCATGCTGTTGATATCACTCTCTATACTGTGCAAACTGACTGTCCAGCCAACTGAGCTAACCAAACCCCATGCAGCCTTTTGTTTGCTGTGCAATTAAGTATGCATCACCCAGTTCTGCTGTTGCTTTGTATTGTTGGTAAAAAGATCATGCTGTGAATGACATCCAGATGGAAGAATAAACAGCAGATCAGTGTATTCATGCAGTTCAAAACTATGGTCACATCATCAAAGTTGCAAGGACTGGAGTATTAATACACCTAAGAAAAACAAGCTGCTCATCTCATATAAGAAAGGAATTTTAATATAAAAGTTGTTTTCATGCAAGACTAAGTAAAGAACTTGCATTTATATCATGCCTATCACAACCGTAGATCATCCCAAAGTGCTTTACAGCTTAAATAGATACTTTTATCGTTGCAATGCTAACAAGGAACTTTGCTTGCAGCATGTTGTGACTAAATTTTACATCGTATATAGACAAAAGTAGTAGCCACAATAGGGCATAAATATTTCTATTTATTATTTTAAAAAGAAAATCCTTGCCACATAATTTGTTAATTTGATTGCTATCCCTATGGTTCAGTGATTTTATGGAGTCAACAGTTGAGTCTTAAAGTATTATATAGGCTAGAGTCTCTAGTCGTATAGGTCTGTGGTTTGACCTCAATTTTATGCTGATCTAGCAGAGGTCAGGTCATTGAGTAAACTCCATTCAGGCTCCAGATCCCAAATTAAGAAAATAAATAAATTGCCTGACAATGTTATTATCTGGTATCATTTGGTTAAATGGGACCATGGACTGATAAGAGTAGGTAGTGATAAGAGGATTGGGCCATCTAACATAATAACCTTCACAGCTGATAAGCCTGCAGTGTTGACACTATAAATGATCAGACAAGAATTAGGGTCATCTGAACAAGGTACCTGCAAAACTGTACAGAAGCAGGAGAAGATTAAAAACAAGGAAATTGGCCGTCAGAAGGGGGAATAAAATCTTGTTGTGATTACATTTTGGATGGTTTTATAGATTTTTCCCTCTCTCTCTGGTAATTATGTGCAAATAAAGCAAGTCATCTATGATCCAGATGCAGCACCTTTGCAAAATCTAATTTTACTTGATTGTGTGGCCTGAACCATAAGGCCATAAGATGTAGGAATAGAAGTAGGTCACTCAGGCCAACATGTCTGCTCTACCACTCCAATGAGATCACAGCTAATCTGATAATCCTCACCTTCCGTTTTCCTGTCTTGTCCTCATAACCCTTGATTCCCTTACTCATTAAAGATTTGTAGTTTCCAATATACTTAATTACGCAGCCTCTACAGCCTTTTGCAGTGAAAACTTCTACAATTTGACTACCGTTAGAAGGGGGGAAAAAAACCTCTTCCTCACCTTAAATGGGCAATTCCTTACCCTGAGACTATGCCTTTTTGTAAATCCAAATATATGAAGGGTCTAGGCCCGAAACGTCAGCCTCTCTGCTCCTATGATGCTGCTTGGCCTGCTGTGTTCATCCAGCCCTGCACCTTGTTGTCTCATATTATATCTAGGCTTCACACAAGGGTGAATAATCGCTCCAAATCCACCTTGTCAAGCTGCCTAAGAATCTCGTGTTTCAATAAGGTCACCTCTCATTCTTCTAAACTCCAATGAATTCAGGCCCAACCAACTCAACCTCTTTTCATAACCAGAATCAATGTAATGATCCTTCTCTAGACTTATTCCAATACCAGTAAATCTTTCCTTGGATAAGGGGACTGCAACTGTTTACAGCATTCTGGCTGTGATCTGACTAGTGCCTTACATAATTTTAGCAAGATCTCCCTAATTTTATACCCTGTTCCCTTTGATATAAAGGCCAACATTTCATTCACTGCTGTGAGTGACCTTTATATAGGTTTATAAAATCATGAGGGGCATGGATAGGATGAATATCCAAGGTCTTTTTCCAAGGGTGAGGAAGTCCAAAACTAGAGGGCATAGTTTTAATGTAAGAGGGCACAGGTTTAAGATGGGAGGGGCAAGATTTAAAAAGGACCCGAAGGGTAACTTTTTCATGCAGAGGGTGGTGCGTGTATGGAACAAGCTACTAGAGGAAGCGGTGGAGGTCAGAACAATTACAACATTTAAAAGGCATCTGCATGGGTATATGAATAGAAAGTGTTTAGAGGGATATGGGTCACATGCTGGCAAATGGGACTAGATCAGATTGGGATGTATAATCGGCATGGACAAGTTGGGCCAAGGGGTCTGTTTCCAAGCTATATGACTCTATGACTCTATCACCCGCTGAAGTTGGATGCCTTTTTTTTTGTGATTCATGCACAAGGACCTCAAATCCCTCTCTGCTGCAGCTTTCTCCATTTAAAAAAATTCAGTTCTTCTATTCTTTATGCCAAAGAGAATAACCTAATGTTTTCTCACATTAGATTGCATCTGCTAAGTTTTTGCACTTAACCTGTCTATGTCTATCTATAGACTTTTTGTGTCATCCCCACTACATACCTTCCCACCTATTTTTTTTTGTCATCTGCAAACTTGGCTATAGTGCATTCCCTTTCCTTATCCAAGTTATGAAAATATATTGTAAATAATTGTGGACCCAGTACCAAATCCTGTGGAACTCCACCAATTACAGGTTTCTATCCTGAAAATGCTCCCTTTATCCCAATTGTTGGTCTTCTATTAGTTAGCCATTCCTCAATCCATGAGAATGTACCACCCCCAAAGTCATGACCTCTTATCTTACTAAGTAGCCTTTTGTGTAGTAACTTATTGAACATCTTTTGAAAAACCAAATATATTACATCTACTGATCCCCGTTACCTGTTCATGGATGATTTCCCCTTCACAAAGCCATGTTGACTCTGCTTGATTATATTATGTATTTCTAAATACTCCGCCTTTACATTCTTTCTAACAGACTCTAAACATCTTCGCAATGACAAATGTTAAGCTAACTGTTGAACTGTTCTTTTTTTTGTCTTTCTCCCTGTTTGAATACGGGTGTTAAATTGGCAGTTTTTCAATCCTCTCAGACTTTCCACAATCTAAGGATTCTTGAAGATACTATCAGTATCTCTATAATCAGCCTTTAGCCCCATTTACTTCTCTAGTAGATAACAAGGTGTAGAGCTGGATGAACACAGCAGGCCAGGCAGCATCAGAGGAGCAGGAAAGCTGATGTTTCAGGTCTGGACCCTTCTTCAGAAATGGGGGAGGGGAAGGGGACTCTGAAATAAATAGAGAGAGGGGGAGACGATGATGGAAGGTGGATAGAGGAGCAGATAGGTGGAGATAAGATGGACAGGTCAAGGAGACGGGGATGGAGCCAGTAAAGGTGACTGTAGGTAGGGAGTCTAGTAGGTTTTCTCTAATGATAGTTATTGTTTATTTACTCCCTCCCCTCATTTAACTCCTTGATTATTTCAAATTTTTTGATACTATTAGTGTCTTCTACAGTGAAGTCTGATGTGAAGTATTTATTCAACACCTCTGTCATTTCCTGGTTCCCCATTATTATTTCCCTAAGGGGCCCATGTTCACTTCAATCTCTCTCTCTAGCTTTTCATATATTTAAAGAAGCTTTTGCTTTCAGTTTGTATATTATTTGCTAGTTTGCCCTCAGTTTGTTTTCTCCCTCTATTCATTTTTTGGTCATCTTTTGACAGCTTTTAAAACTTTCTCAATCCTCTGTTTTAACATTAATCTTTGCCACATTATTTTTTTTCTCTTTCAGATTGTTAGTCTCCTTAAATTCCTTAGTTAACCATAATCAGTTTATTTGGTCATCTTTCTTATCTGTCCTTCTTTCCTGGGTCATATCTTTGCTGTGAGTCATTAACTATTTTCTTATATCTGCCATTGTTCCTCAACTCCTTTCCCAGTCCTCTCCTGCTAACTTTGCCTTAATTCCAATACAATTACCCTTTTTTTTAAGTTTAGCACAGATTTTCCAACCGAAGTTTCACATTTATCAAACTTAGGATAAATTATGTCTGTGTTGCGTCAAACAAAGTGCATTGCTACTCAACACTCTCTTAACTCGGAGGCATTTTTTTTTGTTTTTGATTGAATGTGGGTGTCGTTGGCAAGGTCAACATTCTTTGCCCATGCCTAAAAACTCTTGAAAGTTGAGGTTTACTAGGCTGCTTCAGAGAGCAGTTAAGATCAACCATACTGTCCGGAGTTACGTGTTGACCAGGTCAGGTATGAAAGGCAGATTTTCTTTCTTATGGGACATTTGTGAGCCTGATAGGTTTTTACAACAATCACTAACACTTTCATAAAAACTGAAAGAACTGCAGATGCTGTAAATCAGGAACAAAAACAAAGTTGCTGGAAAAGCTCAGCAGGCCTGGCAGCATTTGTGAAGAAAAAAATCAGAGTTAACATTTTGGGTCCGGTGACCCTTCCTCAGAACTACTGTTTCATAGTTTCATGTCTACATTATTGAGATTAACTTTTAATTCCAGATTCTATTAACCGAATTTAAATTCCACTACACTGTGGTGAAATTTGAACCTGTGTCCTCAGCTCACTAAACTGGATCTTTGGCATATTACTCCAGTTATATTACCAATAATCCCAAATTAGTTCAGGTTTTGCAAACTGAAGTAAGCAAGTTTTTTTCTAAAATTAAATAGAATATGATACCCAATGGTTGAACAAATAATAAAACTATAATCTGTAAACAATTTTGATTTCCTGTAGGCTTCATTCATGAAGACCACCTGCGTGAGCTGCTGACCACAATGGGAGACAGGTTCACAGATGAGGAAGTTGATGAACTTTTCCGAGAAGCACCAATTGACAAGAAAAGCAATTTCAACTATGTGGAATTCACCCGCATTCTGAAGCACGGTGCCAAGGATAAGGACGATTAAATTTACATATTGTAGCTGCTTTTAATCTCACCATATTTCATTTATAGCACACACCATGCACCACAAAGCAATCCATTTACATTAAGTAGCAACTTTGTTTTCTAAATGTTTTGTATGAACTTTTAAGACGGTGTAGGCTGATATCACATTGTATGAATGTTAGAAAATGTGGCGATCTAATAGGATGAAAACAATTTAAAATATGTAAGTATCCTGTTGACCTTACATATAAATTGTTTTGATAACTGATTACTCATCATGAAGAATAATAATGGAAATTCCTGAAAAGCAATAGAGTGAAAAGAGTTCTGACCAAATATTTTACAACGAAAAGCAGTAACATGATTCTAACAGTATCTATGACAAGATTCGGTACTTAAGTTTTATATGGAACTTTGTACTTTTCCTGAGTATTATGTGTCGTAATAAAGGCTCCATTACTCTTGTGGTGGCTCCATGTTCTGTATTTATGCACTTTTACAATGGATTGATTCAGAGTGCACTCCTTATCTTTTTGTTAGGGTGTTACCCACACATAATATTTACCAAGGCCTTGGGTTATTGGTGTCTTCCTCTGTACTCTGAACCGTTACTCACAATCAGCAATCCAATTTGAAGGAATTATCTAAAAAAAGTGATTCAACATTTTTATTTTAATATTTAACCATAAATTTTGCCACAGCCTCTGAAAGTGCACATATGTTAAGATATCAGGGCCTTCATAGAATATAGCTGGTTTGACTAAGTATTCTATTTCTTTAGATGAAAGAAATAGAATTGATTATGAAATGTTTCATTTGATACCTAAGAATAACTCAAATTTCTAAGAACAATTTGCAATTAAACACAGAATGGTCTATAATGCATGTCATGGTTTGGTGCAACGACTCTTGCCCTCCACTCTCACACTAGCTGGATGCAGAAACAAAGTCCTGCATCTACGTATATCCTGAAATAGCAAGACACTCATCACCTCCAATGTTAGCAAGAATCATATCAGACTTGAAACATTACCTCTGTTACTTTCTCCACTGATCTGCCAAACCTGCTTAATCTCTCCAACATTTTCTGCATTTCCATCAGAAAGTATTCCTAGGGCAAGTTGAAAGGAGAGAATTTTGGGAAGGTCTTATCATCAGGAAGAAAGGGAATGCTGAGATAGGAAGACTTCAGTTTTACTTGTACAAACAAAAAGAGGCATCCTGCTCCTCTTGGCACCACAAGACAAGTTAAAAAATGAGAAGGAACATTCTAGTGCCAATCCATCTTTCCAGGAATTCCACAATGATTTCCATACTTATATGACAAATTAAAAATAGCATTTGGGCCCAGATAATGTCTCCAGGGCCTAATTTATACAGAACATAGAACAATACAGCACAGTACAGGCCTTTCGGCCCACGATGTTGTGCTGACCTATTATCCTACTCTAAGATCAAACTACCCTGAATATCCCACATTTTACAATCATGCATGTGCCTATCCAAGAGTCGCTTCAATGTCCCTAATGTATCTGACTCCCCTACCACCACCAGCAGCACATTCCACACACCCACCACTCTCTGTGTAAAGAACCTACCTCTGACATCTCCCCTATACCTTCCTCCAATCATCTTAAAATTATGTCCCCTCGTAATAGTCATTTCCGCCCTGGGAAAAAGTCTCTGGCTATCCACTCTATCTATGCCTCTCATCATCTTGTACACTTCTATCAAGTCACCTCTCATCCTTCTTCCCTCCAATGAGAAAAGCCCTAGCTACCTCAACCTTTCCTCATAAGACCTGCCCCCCCAATCCAGGCAGCATCTGGTAAATCTCCTCTGCACCCTCTCTAAAGCTTCCACATCTTTCCTGTAATGCGGCGACCAGAACTGAACACAATATTCCAAGTGTGGTCTAACCAGGATTTTATAGAGCTGCAGCATAACCTCATGGCTTTTAAACTCAATTCCCCTGTCAATGAAAGCCAACACACCATACGCCTTCTTTACAACCCTATCAACTTGGGTGGCAACTTCGAGGGATCTATGGACATGGACCCCAAGATCCCTCTGTTGCTCCACACTGCCGAGAATCCTGCCATTAACCCTGTATTCTGCATTCAAATTCGACCTACCAAAATGAATCACTTCACACTTTTCCGGGTTGAATTCCATCTGCCACTTCTTGGCCCAGCTCTGCATCCTGTCAATGTCCCATTGCAACCTAACAACAGCCCTCCACACTATCCACAACGCCAGCAATCTTCGTGTCATCAGCAAACTTACTAACGCACCCTTCCACTTCCTCATCCAAGTCAATTATAAAGATCACAAAGAGCAGAGGTCCCAGAACAGATCCCTGCAGCACACCACTGGTCACCGAGCTCTAGGCTGAATACTTTCCATCTACTACCACCCTCTGCCTTCTATTGGACAGCCATTTCTGTATCCAGACAGCCAAATTTCCCTGAATCCCATGCCTCCTTACTTCCTGAATTAGCCTACCATGGAGAACCTTATCAAATGCCTTGCTGAAATCCATATACACCACATCCACTGCTCTGCCTTCATCAATATGTTTTGTCACATCCTCAAAGAATTCAATGAGGCTTGTGAGGCATGACCTGCCCCTCACAAAGCTATGCTGACTATTTCTAATCAAGCTATGCTTTTCCAAATAATCATAAATACCATCTTTCAGAATCCTCTCCAATAATTTGCCCACCACAGAAGTAAGTAAGACTGACTGGTCTGTAATTCCCAGGATTATCCCTATTCCTTTCTTGAACAAGGGAATAACCTTTGCCACCCTCCAATCATCTGATACGACTCCAGTGGACAGTGAGGACGCAAAGATCACTGCCAAAGGGCCAGCAATCTCTTCCCTCGCTTCCCGTAGTAACTTTGGGTGTATCCCGTCTGGCCTGGGGACTTATTTATTCTCATGTTTTTCAAAATTTCTAGCACATCCTCCTTCCTAACATCAACCTGTTTGAGCATATCAGCCTGTTTCATGCTGTCCTCAAAAACGTCAAGATCCCTCTCACTGGTGAATATTGAAGCAAAGTATTCATTAAGGGCCTCCCCTATCTCCTCCAACATCGCGCACAAGTTCCCTCCACTATCCCTGGTTGGCCTTACCCTGACTCTGGCCATCCTCTTGTTCCTCATGTAAGTATAGAACACTTTGGGGTTTTCCTTAATCCTACCCACCAAGGCTTTTTCATACCCCCTTCTATCTCTCCTATGTCCATTCTTCAATTCCTTCCTGGCTACCTTGCAGCCCTCTAAAGCCCTGTCTGATCCTTGCTTCCTCAACCTTAAGTAAACTTCCTTTAAGCTCTCTGCTGGTTTTCACCAGAAAAAGTGTAGGCTGAAGGAAGGGAGCAAACGTTTGATAACGGTTGAGCATAACGGTTGAGCATAATGATTGATAAATCAGTCTTCCAGCCCATTATAACTGGCCACCCATGCAATTTCTGCCAACTGAGCAGGATTGAACTCACTCCAGTCTACTGAGATTATATTAGGGTTTAGACCTCACATACAACATCATATTCCAATCCTAGACAACATATCCCCAAAAGACTATGCATGTACTTGAGAAACTGAAAGAGGATCAAAATGCAAAGGTGAAGTTATTAAGATGAGAGAATCCAAGGTAGCCATTATCTAGAGAGAACGTTGAAGGGAGTATTAGTGAGATGTGGTGACTGTAATGTGGTCAGCCACCTGGACCTCATAGAATATGGGTTCCCTAATTGAGGCTGCTAATCTGGTCTAATCAGGATGCCTTGGCTGATATCAAAGGGATGAGTGTCAGGGATACTGGCGCCCTGGTGTCTGACTCTTTATGAGGCAGTACTCTCGCCAACGACTGTTCATGTGGAAAGGAAGGGTAACTTGATGATGGGATACTAGCCTCTGTGGAGTTATTTCAGAGATATATGAAGTGTCAAACTTGAGAGATCTGCAAAACTCATAATAATATTGCAATAATAATATTTAATAAGTTAGGTCAGTTCTTTATACAGAATTTTAAGAAAAAGTTAATATCTTTACTCAAAGGGAAATAAATACTAGGTAAAACAGCAGACATAAATGCATTAAAGGCCATTCAAAGAGCAGTTAGACATTGGGCTGAGTGAACTGAAATTACAATACTAGTAAGAGGTTAGTGGTAAAAATGGCCCATTCCATTCTGTGACCTAGAGCTCAGCTAATGATTGGCATTGGCCATGTGTGCACATCAGATAAAATAGTGTCCCTGTGGTATTAAACATATAATAATAAAAGGGAGTTGTTTCATATTATTTTCTCAGAGAGCATCAGTCTTAAATGCTTCCTTTGCTGTAAGCTGATTGAAAATTTAATAAAGAAACCCAAATTATAATGGTTACAATTGTTTGGTTCAGTTAGTCAAACAGTTAAAACAGACACATATGTCCATCATTTTTTGAAGCTGTTTTCGTAGTGGTATCATTTTAATTTTAATTTTGATCCTTAGTGCTAACTCCGCACATTAAGTTGTTAAATCTGGCACTTATCCCCAACAGACCCAATAAGAGGATAAAACGAAGCACGTAGCACCACAAAAATGGGGTCTAGTATTTGTGCATATATTTCTGATAGAAAGTGAACAGTGTACTGTCTTGTTGGGGCACACATGTCAAACCCCTTGCAGCTCAGTGAGTCAATGGGTAACACTGCTGTAAAGTCACTGTAACTAGTGCTTCAGCCTACACCCTGTCAGAAACTTATACAGCTGAACTCAATGTGAAAAGATGGGAAGCATCCCACGATGTCCATCAGTGCTATTTAAGGTGACCACAATGTATATGTAGGTTAGATATGCTGCAATTGTGCCTTTTTCAAGGATTCACATCAATACTCTACAGAAAGCAGTCCACTCAAGCTGGTCTTGTAGTACTTTGGTGTCTTTTAATATATGCTTCCAGACACAGTTAGAGCATTCGCCATTCCTGTGAGAATTGAACATGACTGAGAAAATAAATTGGGGCTACACATGGCTTCTTAATGGTGCAGAGAACATTTGTGCACACACTATCCTACATGGTCTTCATCTAAACTTGGTCATATTGATTTCAATGGCTCAGTGACTGTGTTGACATACTATCCTAAAGTGTGTGGCACATCTGTCTCTGAGCTGGCCCCAACTACAAGCTCAAGTGATATTGTCTCTTCATTATCACTACTTGTTTTCCTAACTTCCTCTGACTAGAATTTCCAGTTCTGTGTTTTTAGAATGAAGAAGAGACGAGGATTTGGTTATGTTGAAGGGAGAGAAGAAAACACATGCTTATGTATTTGTTGGCAGATTATGAATTAGAAGACAGGGTATAGGAGAAGTGGGAAGCAAGAAAGAGGATTAACAATTAACAATTCATAGTGCCATTAATGCATTAAAACATCTGAAACACTTCACAGGAATGTTATTAACCAA